AAACATGTTTTACGCTTGGAAAGTGCAGTCCTTTCAAAGTTATCAAGACATTAGATTATACAATAAATTACTAACTTTATAAACTTATTAGAACCTCTGTGTTCTATAAACTGTTAGACGCGGAGAATCGAATCCGTTCAAGCTAGAAATAGTATTGAAATATTCACCAGAAAACAAGACGAACGAGGTTGTTAGGAAATCTCTTCGAATAAAATTAGTGTTTAATGTTTCTTTCCCCATCTTATGTACATAAACAGAACGCTGTTTTCCCTAGTTTTAGTTTATCACGTGCGCCATTTCACTACAATAACATTACCTTGCAAAACATAGTCCGTGATAAAATGGTTCATATTTACGTTTCTACTGAAGTCTGACATTAATAAATAGTTCGGATGTCACATACGTTTTTTCCACTTTCTGTAATACGTTTTCAGATGTAACAACTACAGGAAAATTGTCGTGCGTAGTGAGGTGATTGACCACAAAATTGAAGGCTGCCTGTGGCAGAGTAGTGGCAGAGGCACTATTGCGTAAAGCGCAAAGGCCTCTGGGAAGGAGATTGTTCCTTCGGTAAGGAAATGACGTCACCGCGCCCGCAACAATCTTTGAATTTCTATTGGTTGAAAGTTGTCGACAGAATGTAAACAATGGACTCGAGTAGTGACATCACAAACGCTTCTTGTTGTAGGACACAGTTTTGTAAACAGTATACGTTTGTCATGACATTCTTACTCGTTTCTTATACGGTATAAACTGTATATTTCACCTCGACGTGTTTTTTTTTTATGAAGTTTTATTTTATTTTTAACCGGCAATCATGAAAAGTTTCAAGACCACAGTATCTCGCTTAGCAAAGAAGATTGGACATTTGATCCCCAAAGAAATTATTGAAGATGTTCAACTTTTTATGGAGCACCCATCTATTGTCGTAAAAGCTATCATTGCAATGATTGTCAAGTCATGTAAGTAGAGATATCGTATTTGTATTGACATATTGATTTTATATGGTAAAACAAAACAACAAATTGTTCGCGATAATCGCGTTGTGAGTGCGCCGACGTCGGCGCCGAGCGGTTATATATTCTGTAGTCAATCATGTATGTCTCATTATATAGCATCTTATCCTTTGATACTGAATACAAAATACATTATACAAAAGTGACTTTGAATGAAAACAAATTAGTAGTAATTCGACTAGCGTTTGGCAGCACATCGTGGACTTAGTGTTCTTTCAGGACTTGCAACACTGAATAGAACGGTGGAACGTATGCAGTGCGCGCTGCGCCGTTCAAATCGAAACGTCCTAAAATCAACGGGAATTCATTTCGCTGTATAGAAGATATCGGAGTTGGGTAGTTTCGGGGCAAGTTTTAGTTGTGCAGGTATTTAAAGATGTCACGCCACGCACAGCAGTTTAATGACGTGAACTGTCAGCGTTGATAAACGTAGTTGTTCATCATTTCAAGCAAACATCGGTTTTGTTTCACAGCAATGCATTTTTATCAATGCGATAGAAAGCTCGGTAGTTTTTTTTTTATTTATTTATTGACATATTGATTTTTTTTCAATGCGTATCATTCCTTATTTCAGAAATGTGTAAAATGGGACAACAATTTTACACAAACGTTTGGTTAGTTGTGCTGTTTTATTTACTGGCGGTTACTCCGTGCCACGGTAAGTATCTGTGAGATGGATATCACAAATAGAAATGTCAACCAAATTGACAAAAGATGAGGTTATTCAATGTAAAGTTAATTTTAAACATTCATGCAGTGTTTATGTCACATTGACATTTACAACTACATTTGTTTGTCCTATAGCTATCGGACACAGTTTTAATCATCTATGATATATACAATGACAATCGGGTGAATGGCCCAGAGTGCAAGTTGGGAGGCTAGCAACCCAACAAAATTCTTTTCAACAATATACACTGTACTTACATTACAGTGCTGACACATTTTTAAAAAATGAAATATTATCTTTAAAAAAAAATTACACTGGGTTTAATTTACACTGTGCGGTTTAATGTATAATGATTTGTTTGTATTTATTAATTACAAATGGAGTTTTCTAATTTTTGACATTATCTATGTTCACAGGAAAAGCGTATTTTGAAATTCCTGGCATACTAGCCAATCAATTGTTAAATCTGAAGAAATCATATCGCTATCGATTTATGAGGGAATGCATTCAACGAGAATGTGACGTCACCTCTATGGGAAATATCGATAAACATTACTGGCGATCAGAAACTTTAAAAGAAACTGGGCATGTAAGTATATTAATTAAATTATATTGCACAGAATACAACTTATTTTGAATTTGTTCATATTTTGCCTTCATGTCATAGTAGACAAAGTAAATAACAAATACTGTAAAATCTGTATTAGAAGCCGCGACTTCTATTGAAATGGTACAATGCAACAGAGGGGATGCTGCTTCTATTAGAGCATCTAAACATATGAGAAATGATGAATTTTTGGTTCCATATTGTTCAAAAAGAATGGGTGCGACTTCTATTGGGGATGCGGCTTCTAATACAAATTTAACGGTACACAACAAAATATCAAAGTAAACATATAGTACATGTAATGTTTTTCTGAATGTAAATTATTGTTCTTTTTGTTAGGATAAATTTTGGAACACGTATCACTGCACAATTACAGGGGATTTTGAACTATGTCCAGGTAATATGATTTTAAGGTCACCAATATAGCATAAATATGTGTTGTATAAGTGGAAGGGATTTTTGTGCGTTTGTGTGTATTATGTATATTTGTATTCCTCTTATTGTATATGCCTGAAGAATAAGTAATTGGAGAATATAGAACACAGATACAGCAGTAGGAAACTAGATTTTAATTGCAATCTGTGGTTTACATTATATATATAGGGGCCTTGTTCAACTCTCGACATAGCTAGCATGATTGTGTATGTTATGTTGTATACCTCTAGCTGCTTATTCTACATGGGTTGAGAATCCCAGTGGTGTTATATTATTAAGTTTGTAATGCACTCCATTTGTCATTTGTCATTTCAGTGGATGGGGGTTGGTCAGGTTGGTCTGACTGGAGTGCGTGCAGCCTTACTTGTGGTCAAGGGACTCGCGTACGATCAAGGCAATGTAATAACCCAGTGCCCACATTTGGGGGCACTCATTGTACTGGTGAAAACACTCGTGTGACAGAATGTGATATTCCGGATTGTCACACCCATACAAATGGTGAGTCATTTAATTATTTAAGGCTGAACCATTCAAAACTTTTAGAGGAAAAAAAAACTTTAAGTTATTTATTTCCCTTCACTTATATTTTAGCTATTAATTTGCTATATATATCAAATATCTGTAGTTTTTTTTTATAAATTCATTATTTTCCCTATAATTTAAAAAAAAAACATCAGGTAAGCAAATTGATACAAACAAAAGTATACAAAAGCTGGTGCCAATTTGAAAATACAATAGAAACAACAACAAACTTCTTTGTTTTTCATTGGTTTAACAGTAGATAAACATGGCGTCTTATCAAAAGGAATGCTTGCTGCAGAATCAACAATGACACGTTTCCATGAAGCAGATGCTGACCTTGTTCGAGATTGTTGGTGGGATCACTGCTCATATAACCACGTACTCAAGACTATAACGCCAGCAAGTCTAGCAGTAAGTACTCCACTCATGATTGCATGTACATGACAATATAATATGGTAATTACAAGTTTTCGATGGATGAAAATTAGTGATTTAACCCCCAAAATATCACCTGTCTATTACAGATGAAGTTCAAAACTATTCTATGGTGTCTTTTTGTTAGTTTTTGTCTGTCCAAGGTTGGGAAATAATATATTAAAAAGCGACTGAATGATTACGTTTATAGAGGGCGATATACTTCATTGTTTTTAATGTACATCTGCCAATGTCCTTCAAAGGATAGGATTTCATTAAAGTTTACTTATTTATTTATTTCTATACAGAATGAATACTGGACTGCATTAAGTTGTTTGAAACATTCCACTGGCTGTTCTGGTAAGTAGGAATGCATTCGTGCAAAAGATGGTTTCAGTTGTTATTTTATTTAAAATTTTGTTTTATGATTAATGATTTACTAACCATGCAGTTCTGGCCTGTTTCAGTGGATGGTAGTTGGAATAAGTGGAGCCCCTGGAGTTCATGCTCATCCGGATGTGGAGAAGGCAGAGCTTATCGTAACCGTCAATGTAATGATCCACCACCAATGAATGGTGGGGCCGTTTGCACAGGGAAGGCCCTGGAGGAGAGTGCCTGCTTTGATGACAAATGCAAATCTATAGGTGTGTAGTATTATTAATGGGTGTAGCATATAATACGACTAGGGTAGGTGAGGGGTGAAAATAAAAAAATATAAATCAATTCAAGAAGTGAGAAAAATGCACAACAAAATAATCAATGTGATTATTTTTCAGCTGGTACGCTATTAACACCATGGTCACAATGGTCACAGTGTCAAGGGAAGTGTAACATTGGATTTAAGGATTCTATGCGTAGATGTACCGCCGACACTCAGTGCACAGATAGTGATAATAATATGATTAATATACTAAAAAAACAAGCACCTTGCTTGTTGAATGAATGTCAAGGTAACTACTTCTCTTTCATGATCACTTTGTATCACCATGGATGCACACTTGGCATATATATATAATGATAAAATAATGATTTTGTTGGATCTTGCCTAAAACTCATAAACCTCACCTTTCATACTTTATGTGAGTATGTTTCCATTTACCAATGTACCACTGTTACTCTTCCTAGGACTAAAAGAATGGGGAGAATGGGGTACATGGACCCCTTGTACTGGGCTATGTAGCCAGGGTGTTAAGAAACAATTACGACTGTGTTATGACGAGACCCATCTTTCCTGTTTTGGTCCTTCAATAAAGCAACACGTTTGTTCAAGTATGGATGACCACTGTCCGAAGGCTCAAGGTAAAGAATATTTCTTTGTGATTCGTTGTGTTCTACCATTTCTGAAAGTGTTCTCTTTGAGAACTAAGGGCTGGAATATTTGCAAGTAAAAAATATGAATTTCCCAAACTGCATAATATAAAAAAAAAAATTGAGAAAAATTTTAACATAACTAATTTCATCAAAAAAAAAACACAACAGGCTACAACATCTTTAATTTGTTTTACCACAGGTGGCGCTAGACATGCAAGAAGTATAGTCAAGAGCATCAACAAATACAATGTCAAAAGAGAAACAGATGGAATGTATGTTGAGACTACAAACACTGTAACTAATGACAATGGGATATCCAACAATGAAGAAAATGATATAACAAATAATGAACACAGTATCAATAATGCTGATCTTAATATAAACAATGATGGATATGATTCAAATAATGGTGAAAATGTTAAAAATAATAGAGAAAATGGTATAAATAATGGTGCAAATGGTTTAAACAATGGTGAAAATGGTTTAAACAATGGTGAAAATGGTATATACAATGGTGAAAATGGTATATACAATGGTGAAAATGGTATATACAATGGTGAAAATGGTATAAGTAATGAGGGTCAAGGAATGCCTCAACAAAGCAATGTGTTTGTGAATAATGCAAATGATATGCAAATTTCAAACTATAATCAGTACAACAACATTAACGGTGCAGGACACGAAGGCATGTATACAGAATGGAGTGCCTGGGGTGAGTGTGAAGCCACATGTGATGGAGGTATACGAAGAAGAGTACGTAGTTGTGTTAATCTTCCTGAAATAGTGTCTGTACTGGTGTACTCACAAGCATGGAATTCTGTAATAAAGATCCTTGTCCTGGTAAGTATCATCAATTATTGCACTGCCCTCTAACAACAATGTACTAAATATACAGTGCTTTTGTTTTTATATCAAATAAGTTAATAAACTGATTAGAATGCAGTTTTAATTTGTTTGTTTGTTTTATTCTACTGTATTTGTTATTAAAACCAGTGTAATTATATGTATCTTGTAATATTTCATTCTGTCCTTAGTGGATGGTAACTGGGGTGACTGGTTTGACTGGACGCCATGCTCAGTTACTTGTGGGGATGGTATTCATGAGCGATATAGAGTATGTTCTGAGCCTCGTTCCATGTTTGGAGGAAAACACTGCGAGGGTGACAATAAAGAAGTGAAGCCATGCACACAAGCAGACTGTCCAGGTATGTGAACGAGAATAGAGAAGCTTGGTTGTGACTGCATGGGTCAGACAGAAGTGTGGGTGGTGTCGCTGTGTTGTGAGGGTCAGACAGAAGTGTGGGGGTGTCGCTGTGTTGTAAGGGTCAGACAAAAGTGTAGGGGTGTCACTGTGTTGTGAGGGTCAGACTATTAGAAGTGTGGGGTGTCACTGTGTTGTAAGGGTCAGACTATTAGAAGTATGGGGGTGTCACACTGTGTTGTGAGGGTCAGACTATTAGAAGTGTGGGTGTGTCACTGTGTTGTGAGGGTCAGACTATTAAAAGTGTGGGGTGTCATCGTGTTGCAAGGGTCAGAGACTATTAGAAGTATGGGGGTGTCACTGTGTTGTGAGGGTCAGACTATTAAAAGTATGGGGGAGTCACTGTGTTGTGAGGATCAGACTATTAGAAATGTGGGGGTGTCACTGTGTTGTGAAGGGTCAGACTAATAGAAATGTGGGGGTGTCACTGTGTTGTGAGGGTTAGACTATTAGAAGTATGGGGGTGTCACTGTGTTGTGAGGGTCAGACTAATAGAAGTGTGGGTGATGTAGCTTTGAAAGCAAAGAACCAAGTTTTGTGGAATAACACATCACTTGTCAGCTGGGTTCAAAAATACAAAGTTGAACATAATTGTATACCACATGTTATAACTTTGTGATCTTCCAGTCAAAATGGCATCATAGTGATGTGGTATAATACAACCACTTTATTCTTGATAGCCTGTGTAGTTACTTGTTAATTAAAAATAGGTTCAACAATTTCCATTGTATTGACAAGCACTTTTTGTTATAATAATACTATTTTATTAGCCTTTGAAACAGCGTAAAAAGTAACATACAAGTCAACATTAACAAAAAAAAGAAAAAGAAAAAAACAATCGATAAAAGCATTCATACATGTAAATTATTCAGTTTCTTGTTTCTGAATGTCCCTAGATGGGTGAGAAAGTTTCTTTTGATGTATTATTTTCCAAATACTTATTGATTGCCCATAAAGCATCACTGAAGAGAAAATTAAATTTGAAATTAATTCCACCTGAAAAAATCAATCTACAATAGTTGGTTCTCCACCACTTTCCACTATAGTATTGTATTGGTCAGTGCTGAATGGAATTTACTTCCCAAGTGGTTGATTTGCAAAGAAATAGAAAATGAAAAACATCCTTCTTTCCATCATTACAAAGCTTACACACCCCGTCACCTTTATAATTTTCCCATCCTGTCTTACTCCCTTCAAAGTTTAATGCATTTGACCTCACCTGCAATGTCACTGAATAATAATGGTCTTCCATTGCAGATTCTGAATACACTTGGAATGATTGGAGTGAGTGGACAGAGTGCACGCTAGAATGTAATGGTGGAATTAGGTCAAGGAACCGTGTATGTTCTGATTTTAATGGTCAAGTAGGCACCTTAGACTCCTGTGTTGGAGAATACTTGCAGACAGGCATTTGCAACATGCACTACTGTTCAGGTAAAAAAAAGTTCAACTTCTTTGTTTTTTAAAGTACATAATAGAGTCAATATCATACTTATTCCTGCTAACAATATAGATACCCATATTTTCTCCTGTATCTGATGTGTTTAATTATGTATAACCATTAAATTGGTGCTGCTAGTAAAGTTGACACTGTTGATGAGATTGTGAATTTCACAAGATATTTCACATATATATATATGTCTATTGCCAAAATTTTTGCGATTTATAGTATGTAGCCTTCTCTGTCAAATTCCACTCTCTTCTCTATAGTCAATGGTAACTGGGCAAACTGGGGTGTTTGGAGCGAATGCAGTAAGTCGTGTAATGAAGGCGTCACATTCCGAGACCGTACATGTACTGACCCTTCACCCCAGGGTAATGGAACACAGTGTCAAGGCATGGGGACTGAAATAGAACAATGTTACCAGCAGCCATGCCCAGGTAAGTAGTCTATAGTCATGTGTGTGAGATATAAACGCTGCCACGGTCTCATGATATAATCTTTATGTACTGGATACAGCTTTCAAGTTTGCAGCACAAGGTTGTACAACAGAAATAAATGACCTAAAATCGCACAGCAGAAACACCCAAGTAGCAAAAGCTGTAACCAGTCCATAAAAGTTTGATTATATACCTTATAGGTTATATAGATTAAATATTTATTTCTGTAATTTATTCAAACGTTCACAGTTCAGTGACACGGCTCTCACCATCAACTAGACACATGAACATTTAAACAATCAATCACTACTATTACAATTCTTTTCAGCAGAATGCATAATCACTTAAATATGCTCTAAATATATTACTGATTTGGCAGCAAGATGTGGCTAATGAGATCAATGTTTTTATAAAGGCATGCCCTACAATTTAACATAATTCTGTGCTGTCAAGATAAAACAAGTTTGCTACGAGATTCACCTGCAATGCAGTGTTATAATGATGATTTGGTAGAACCAGTTTGGAGAGCACAATAGTCTATAATAGGAAGATGTTGTCAAAATGCTATAGGCATGATATTGGAAAATAATTGCACAGCGTTTAGTCGGGTTTCTCATACAAAGCACATGGAAAATAAAGAGACTTATAACTGTGGTAATGATGGAATTATTTTCTAGAGAACTGCATCAACTTGCGTCATTGATTTGACAAAGAACTGTAACAGAAATTGTATGCAGTTTATAAGCAGTATTTTTGTCTCTATGTGTCAAGTTACGTTTTTAATATCAGTCATTGAACATATCGCACATATAAACCAAACATTGCATTTACTCATTGCTGGATTGTTAAAATTCAACTTATTTGAACCATGCACATGCACACATCTGTCATTTATTTTAATGGAGTAAAACAGGTGTAAAAAGCTATCTTCCTTATATCCTGGAAATAAAACATACCCTCAAAACACATTCAACATTTTTTTCACAATCTAGAAAGTTTTGCTTTGACCAGAGTGTTCCATGAAGCATCACATTTAGTCTATCGAGCGACAGCGGCGCCTACAAAACTTCTACTTATGTACGTCAGATTTAAGGCAAGAAGTGTAAATGGAGTGATTTTAGTAAGACGAGGACCTGAAAATGGAAGACCAATTGTTGCTGTTGGACTACAAAATGGATACATACAGTTGTACATTAAGATTGATGGTATTAGACTTAACTTAATGGGTGATGAAATAAATGTAAGTGTTATGTGTGAAATTAATCAGCTTGAATATGAGGGATATTAATTGTCAAAAAAAGATACATTTAATATCAAATATTGTAAATGATAGCTGAAATCAATTACAATAATTATTTAATGGTAAATTAATCACAGCAAAATCTAATATTACATCCAAAATAACGAAAAATAATCATTGAGTTATTTCTTCTTTCAGCTATCTGGTTGGAACTCGGTAGAATTTAGTCTGGTCGGTAATGTGGCAAGTTTGCGACTAAACGATAAAAAA